CTTAGTTGCTCCTCCTTCAATCAAGACGCTTGCAATCTGGACTAAAAGGGAGAAAACCCTGCAAATGGTTGGCATAGATGTAGGAACTAGACTAAATTGCCTTTAAATCCAGATTGCCTCTAGCAATCCTTAGAAATGCATCCTTTGTGGCCGACTGCTAAAAGGACTCTGTTTTACACACACAGAAAAGCTGGCACCAGCGTCTTGTATTTTAGCATAAACATTCTTTCCTTTTCTCTTTTCTCTTTTCTCTTTTCTCTTTTCTCTTTTTTCTCTTTTCTCTTTTCTCTTTTCTCCTTCTCTTTTCTTTTCTTTTTCTTTTTCTTTTTCTTTTTCTGTCCAATTGAAATGCAGCTTGACAGAGCTTTTCAAATGCAACAGAACTGACTGACAGAAAAAAGAGGGGGAAAAGGACTGGATTTATGAAAATAAAGAATAAGCAATGGGAACAACATCCTCTGAGATCAGAGTAACTGCTTTAATAATCTGGTTCTGCTAAGGGCCAGTAATATTGAGCATAATCTCTTCCAATGCACAGGAGAATCCGCCTTTTAAAAATTGGAAATCTGCATAAAAATCTTGTTCTTCGCTTTTTTTAATAATAAATCAAAGCTCTTTTTTTTGTTGTTGTTTTAAGTAAAGTTCTTACCCTGCCATTCTGTTTAAGGAATAAGTAGTGGACAGGAACAGTGGCATTAAATGTACAACATCTTTTCCAATTTCTCATGGGTGATGTTTGGTGGTGAGGCCCACATTACTGTCAAAACAAGCTGTATTCAAGCCCTATTCATGCATGAAAGATTGGGGGGCGGGGGGCCTTCACTTGCAAGTCCTGCCCCCAAACTCCCCACATGTGTAGGCTCCTCTTCAGCTTTTTGTATGCTGTGTATGATGTTCTGAAGAGTTTCTGTGTCTATTTCTGATGTTGTACAAAGTTCTGAAGAGAAACATCTGAGCATACTGCTACATAGGGCAAACCTGTGTATTCAGCAGTAGGTTCTCTTGACTTCTATGTAGCCTACTCCAAAGTAGCTACACGTTGGAGAGCATCCAGACCCGGCAAAATTTAAATATGAGATGTTATTTGTAAATCTATATTTTACAATAGAGATTTTAATCAGAAGTGAGTATAAATAGTTAACACTCAGAATGTCAATATATCCTATGGATGTGAGAAAGCATTTTTCTTAGGGTCCTGGCTATGCAGCTCAGTTTGAAATAGACCGCTTTGGGCAAATAAGGCAGCACTTCATTTTGGCAGCGCTTCACTTGTTGATTGCTTCTTTCCAGAAGGCACCATCACTTTGTCACAACTGTATACCAAATATCATTTAACCTTCCTAGGTTTTAAAATATTAATTTCTTTTTTTTTTAAGCTGCCATAAATTCTTAACTTCTGATGCACTGTTTTGTTATATTTGTTCATTTTGACTCTGAACTTAAGCTACCTAGAGGATGTTGATTGGTCAAAAAAGGTCAGATATAGATAGAAGACATGAAATCATATGAATTATATTGCAAATTGTTTTTAAAGGCACATAGAGTAGTGCAATAGCCTAACTTAGTTTTAATAAAGAAAAGCATACGTGTGTGTGTGTGTGTGTGTCTGGATTCATTTTGTTAAATCATGGTTGTTTAATTATGATTTGTTGAATCAAACATAACCAACCACTTTACAGCTAAGCCAAAATTAAATAGATCACATTATGAATTAACATGTGAAGCAACCTGTGTATGTAGTAAATAGATAAATGCTTAATACTAAATAGACTATGATACTTATGATGCCTACTTTTCACATACTTTAGGAAAAATAAGTTGAGAACTTCTGAGCCCAAGAAAGAGATAAATACTAGATTTATTTGACTGGTGTTATGTTACTTAGATCCAAAAGCCGCGTTGCGAGTTATAAAAGGCTTGGAAAAGTATGCAAGGAGGGAGCAAGGCTTGTTGTAGTTAGCAAGCCAGTGCTTTGATCAGTCCATAGCATCGCCCTTTTGATTTAATTAAGGTTGAAAAAAGTGGCAAGGTGTTCCATGGCTTTGGAACAGAACTGTGTTAACTGATGACAATGGCCATTATGTTCAGATGAATCAACTCTCGCTTTACATTCCTCTCATCTTTTTGAAAGCTTCAAAATCTCTTGCATTACACAGACCTCTGGTCACTTTGCTGTGAAATGCATTCAGTCTCGAGCAGTGGATGTAATACGATTTTGTAAAATCCTGTTTAGAATTTCCATAGCTGTGTCCACACCACCAACAATAAAGATAAGCTATTTTCACCGTGAATTTCTGGGGAGTTTAACTTGGAGCCTCTCCTTTTATCCTTCCTCACTTGGGCTGTTGCTATTTTATTTAAAGGCTGTTGCTTTCATTCACTCTGAAGTTCTCAGCCCATTTTCCCTGCATTGCAGTGAGAATACTCTCTCATTGACACTGACCAAGGTACGTTTCCTAGTTTCTGGTACAACCCTGACTTACCTGTTTTTATGAACCCAAAGCATCTCGTTAATTATCCAGCTGGGAGGGCATTATATGTATTTGTTACTGTAGTATTCTCCATTTCCCTGGGAGTTCAAGATGATATACTTAGTATTCCCTTCTCCAATTTTATCCCATAACAATAATCTTTGGGGTAGTTTGGGCTGAGAGGCCACTAAGCTACTTTGTTAACTTTCATCATGTTTTGGATACTTTGGGAATGCAATAGCATTGCTGGTTGGGAATTTTGGGAGTTAGAGCCCTGACGCTAAAGGATACTAGGTTGGAGAAGGCCTTTTTTTTAGAGCAATCAGTTTCAAAATCATGAGAACCAATGATCTGTTTTTCCCCCTATGATTTGATCATCATGTATTCAAACCTTAAGCATGTCTACTCCAAAATAACTTCTAGTAAGTCTAGTAGAGCTTTCTTCCAAATAAATATCTGTAAGATTGCACCCTAAATTGATATAAATAAATATTGTATTTTAGTAATTTTAAGGATATGGACTTTTATTTTTTTATTTCTTGCAAAGAGATCTATTGGATCTTACATTTGAAAATATAATACAAATGTAAAGAAATTGCAATAGTGCAGCTATTATTGAGTTTAACTTCATCATTATGCCCTTCTGGTTGGAAATACTGGGAGCTGTAACACCAAAACAACTGGAGGTGCCAAACTGAGATGTTGCAATATGCAATTTTAACTCCGTCTCTTGGCTAACTAATGGCAATTAAAGTCCAAACCTGCTGCATGTTTTCTGACTTTTATATCTCATTGTGGTTTTCCCCCACTCTGGACTCTCCAGATGTTTTGGATTTCCAATCCCAGGAAGACATTCTGAAAGTTGAGACCAACACATCTAGAGGGCATCAGTTTAGGGAAAGCTGTCCAGTGGTGTTTACTAGGGCTTACTCCCACATAAGTGTGGAGGAGACTACTTTAAGCCAAAAATGCACAATTTTGATGGACAGGGAGCCACTGTTGATCCTTGAGTGACATGCCAGAGGCTGCAGACAGGTTAGGAGAAAGTGAGCAGGTCAGGCAAAACTGCATTTTATTTGATTGTAATTGAATTTAATTGAATTGAGACTATTTAATCTAGTTGCACTCTGTGTTTTTAATAAGGTGGCCTTTTTCTCACGTTAAAAATGACTGTTCAGTAGCAACATTTGGAAGGGGAGTGGGGAATCATATGAGAACTATGACCATCAGGACACCCACTCCTGAATTAGATAGTCTACGCAAATCGCCATAAGGACAAGTTTGTTCTTCTTGGCTGAGAATATATTTTGCTTGACGTTCTTGGGTGAAACGGCTTGATAGGTTCTCTGGCTTGCTAATGCCTCTTGCTCAGAATACTCCAAGGCAGACTTAGTTGATTAGGGTTGTAGCTTGAAAACCACCCTGACTTCTCTCTCCTTATTGCAAAATATATGAAGGGCATCTAAACCTCCTAATCTACTTCTGAGGCATGGAATCCCATTTCACTGTGAAGCAATCTTATAGAGATGCACTCCCTATTGAAGTATTTGTAGGGAGACTTTGCTCATGATCTGTCTTTCCAGCTTGGCCGTATGGCGCATTAGCAGCAGACAGAATTAGACATGGAGATCATTGTATGATCTCTAAGGTGCAACGGTAGCTTAGCAAAAACCATGCACAGAAGAGAAACGGGCTGCCTATATTTAAGCAATCAGGCTAGTGAGACAGGAAGCTATAGTGGGAATTCTCTATATCTTTAGACTGAAGGCTCAGACTTAGACAAGACTCCAGGGAAGTACCTTTTTCCTAGAGCTGATTTGGCTGTGGGGAGGCATAATTGCTTGGACCTGGCAGGAGATTGTTTTGGGATCTCCCACCATTTTGTGAAATTTTTATAAAGAAACCTGTGCCCAAGATATGAGATTCCAAGGATCAAGGAGGAAGCAGTGAGACCTCCAACACATATAAGTCCTGAAATGCAAGCCATCTTCTAGCATCATTGCAATTCCACAGATGCATATACAGAAAGGTAGTGTCAACCCTGATCAAGGAGGCAAGAACTGCACAGGCTTCAGTAAAGTATCTTTAATGCCTTAATCTTGGGTAAAAACCGAACCTTGGAAACTGTAAAAGAATTTCTAACCTTCCTTTATAATGACTTCATTAAGGCAGAGTCTCCTTGAATGACTTGAAATGCTTCTTCCCAGGTTTATGGCCACCTGGGCTGAGATGCTGTAGTGCCATTTATGGGATAATCTGCCACCAGATTCACCTTCTATCTGAGGATTGTTTATATCTATTCTTCCTTCCACTGGGTTCTCAGCCTCCCCCCAATCTCCCACAGGTTGGAGATCTCATGCTTCCACCTTGGATACAGAAACTTTTCTTAATGCTCCAATATATTTGCAACAGGCTCTCAGAGATCCTGAGATTGTGGCCAGCTCTGCTTGGAATGCCAGTGCCTACTCAGGGTTCAATTCCCTTGGTCCTTCAACTGTTTTGCTTTTCTCATGTGTTTTTTCTTAACAGATGACAGCCACAGCACAGCAGCCGGCGAAAGCACAGCCAGTGCATGTCACCACACCCTCGGCAGCAGCCAATGCTCCACTGCCCAGCACCCCCATCGACCCTCAGGCACAGCTGGAGGCTGACAAGAGGGCTGTCTACAGGTACAGAGGATAATGCTATCAGTCTGCTCTTTAATGTTGCTTTCCCTCTCTGCAGTGGCACGCTGAGAGATTACTGGTATCTGGCCTAAGGCTAACTTGTCAGTAGGTGCTACCCAGGGGCTGCTTCATAGCTGCTTGTGGTCACTAGATGGAAGAGAGGTTCGAGTGCATGGCCAAACAGAGAAATCACAAAAGGAGTGGGCTTTCTTGCTTGGAAAAGGAATTCTGTGTTACAGAGGCAAAAGGCTGATGCACAGTTGAAGTTCTGGTGGAGAATGAATTAGGGCCAGAAATGGTGATACAAACCCATGGCCATGGATTGCACATACGTGTTGTAATTGACTGGAACACTTTTGACACGCTTGGATTGGGGATGCGCCCCAAATTCTGCTTCATTTACTATCATTGAACACTTGGGGACACCGGCAACAGAGATGCACACGTTTGTCAATTTCAAGTTTGCTCCGTTTCTTCTTTTGTTCCCACTTTGGGTTGGGTTGTATCACTTTCTTGTTTTTCTTCATTAAAAAATCTGCTTGGAAATATGTATGCATGTTTATGTACATTTCTGTAAGTCTGTTAATTTTTTTATACACATTTGTCAGTTAGCCTTCTTCCAAGTTATTTGCTTTAATATGTATCTTCTGAACCATCCCTAATAGGCACTTTGGTTTGCATTCTTTTTTTAATATTTTTGCATCCCCTTTTTAAGCAGATTTGAACTCCATTGCTGTACCCACAAAAGTGAAGATTTTAGCCAGTCAGTGCATTCACCTTCATATACGTACACTGAACATTTTCTCACTGAGATGCAGTGAACGAGTGAGATTCTCAGAAGTTCTTACTTGGCATCCGTTGGCAGGGAGAGCTGAAGACCACCAAACCACCGGTAGCTGCTGGAATTCTTGAGCATGTCAGCATTCTGGATGGGGATTTACAGGGCCATGGTCAAATACTGTTGAAAATTGCTCTCTAAATGAGGTTTATGAGTGAGGCAGCCTGGATAACAGAATCTTTTGTGATGTTTCAATTTCACACTTTAATGCCATGTGTTAGCAGATTTATGTTTTGTATATGCAAGAAAGCTGAAGTAAAAGAAAGCCCAGACGTTTATGCAGGATAGCACTGGGAAGGAAGAACTCAGAAGATGAGTGTTTGAAATGAAACCTTGTATATCATACTGAATGCTTAGAGGAGAGAGGGGGGTTTAATTAAAATTTCTTGCCTCTGGGTAGCATGACAGTTCAAAAACACATTGGGGATTTTTCATTTCATGTCAATAAATTTAACAAGGCCCCATTCAGTTCAAATTAATGCTTAAGCTGTAGCTTTTATGCTCTCCTCTTGGAGAGAGAGAGAGAGAGTGTGTGTGAGTATGTATGTGTATATATACGTGTGTGCCTGTGCGTACACTATGTGTGTGCATGTGTATCACATAATTTGTTCTCCTGTTCCTGCATGCCTCTGAACCAAACCCCAGAATAGCTATGGTTTTGCTCAGCTGTAGGGTGGTCTAGTGATACTCAACGAGCTTGTAGTTCTGGTAATTGATGTTAATAGGGAATATCCCTTTCTG